CGTTGCGGGACAAGAAAAAAAAAAAAAAAAAAAAAAAAAAAAAAAAAAAAAGAAACAAGTGTGTTTTAAATGATGCCCAAATAATAAGATTTTGTGAGAGTACTACACTCGTACATTACTGGGAATAGTTTAAACTGTTAAACTTTGGGAGGCAGTATTGCTATGTAGTTAATGACATAAATACATCTATAGTTTTTGACTTGTAATTCCAGTTCTATGAATTTGTCCTTAAAAAGTCAGTCATTTATATACATGAAATATGTAAAAATGAAAAGTTATGGTGTGAAGGTAGTAGAATATTTAAGGTTTTTTTTTCCCCCACCCTTAATTTTGTTGATAATTGCTTTTAAATGAATGGGGAGAAAACGGTCTTAGAAGATAGGTTTAGGAGCAGGAGACTGAGAATATTAAACCCATGTAACTTAAATATATGTTTCAGTAATATACTGAAATATTGGTAGTGAATTTCTCAAACATTTTAGTTTAGAGATACATCTCAGAATTTAGATTAAAATTTCTTATTTTAGAGTGATGACTTTTTACCTTTTAAAACAATAGGTGATCAAGAATAGCAAGACAGACATCCCAGAGTTGGAGTTATTTCCTCGCTATCTTCTCTTCCTGAGACAGCAGCCTGCCACTCGGACACAGCAGTCTAACATCTGGGTGAATATGGGTATGATGAGCCTGAGAATGTTTCCTCAGCATTTACCGAGAGGTAACTTAAGAATGCAGCAAGAATGCCATGCATTTTCTTAAAAAAAGAAAATGAAAACCAAGTTGCTTAAAGTCTGGTGCCACTGTACATTAGTACACATTCCTATCTGCTTTCATACAAAATCAGTAAATCACTTGTGGGGCTTAGATCTATGGTCATGCACAAGACTAATGGGCAGTAGAGGCAAAATCCCAGCAGTAAACTGAGAGAGGTTGTTTCCTTTTTTAGTTTGTAAACTTGTGAAGGTAATAAATACAAATAGATTTTACACACTTTATTTCTTTAACGTAAGCCATTGTAAATTGTTGCTAAACCTAAGTTGTAGTCTGCCAGTCATTGACTGGTCTTTTTAACTCTGCTCAAATTTGTGAGTAATTTCTTTGGCACTGTGATCTTTTTTGTTTGTTTTTTGGTTTGTTTGACAATATGTAATACATTTTTCATGCTAGATCTAAGGAGGCTTTCTAGGAGACAGATAATATAGAGCAAAGGGTATATTTTTTAAAATGAAAGTGACACATTTGCTTTGAGAAACACCAAGTCTATCAAAATGGCATGTAAATTAATTCCCATTTTAGTGTATAACATATAAAGAGTTTCCCTATGTTTTCTCTATAAGGTTAAGTTTTGTTAATAGACAAGACTTGCCCTGTGTTTTTTGCTTGCAAGTATTTGAAATTGTTCTCTAGCAGTAAAGAAATGAGTTCATCCATTTACACAAAGTTGGAGACTTTGTGTTAATGATGCCAGAGTGTTATTTTAATTTAATATAACTTAGTGTGCAAGAACTACCTCTGAATCCAAGCCAACCCCTATTTACGTACTGGCCCTCCTTTGCAATTGAACAGGGTTAGTTTTATATCTTCCTTAAAGGTTATATTTAGATAATATATGAAGATTCTTTTACATATTGTTTTGTAAGAATTAGAGCAAAGTAGTGGCCTCTGCCTAACCAAACTTTATCTTTGGGGAAAACATCAAAATCAAGGAACAGTGAAATAGAATCTATGTGAAACATTCTTGATTTCATATGCCACTGAATAGAAGTATTAGCCTTGACTCTATAGCACCCATAGCACAAGTCTTTTTCGATTCTCTTTGAAAGATAACATGAGAGGCAAGATGTGTTGTGCTTTTTCTTTCTAACTCTTGTGCTGATCCTAGATTTTTGCCGCTTCTGTAAATTCTACTAGGTTTATTGGTGCTATTCAAAAGCCCAAAATTATATATAATAAGTGGCTGCCTGCTTGATGAGCTATGCCATAAAAACTGTCTAGAAGTCAAATTTTCTTCTTGTGGCTTAGGACAATAGAGATTGACTTGGACACTATACTTGCATGTGCTTCTGAATCTTAGAACTGGGTGGTTCTGATGCTCCAAATTTGTTCTTAATTTGAAATTTTATTCCTTACTAATTAGTTGTGAAATCAATTATTAATCATTTTGAAGTTTATAAAAACATGCTTTCTTGCTGTAATCTTATAACTAATCCTCTGAAATACAATTGCAGAAATTTGCTCTTTTGTTTTTTTTAGGGATCATCCTTTGCTTGCTGATAGTAAAAGATTTGCTTTGCTGTGTGTTTAAAAATTTATCATGGTTGGGTTTTGTTCTGCCATAACATAATGTTCATCTTTCTCAAATACTCAATTACAGCTATGTACTAGGCTCTTTTATTCCTTTTGAAGTGACTGGTATACAAACCTTTCCACAGTTACAATGACTTAAATGTAACCTTTCTACAGACAAGGCTATAGAAGTCATTGTTCCTTAGATGATTTTCCATCCTGTCTTAGGTGAGTGAATTCTTTTTGGAAGCTCTAAAAAAGCAAATTGTATTAGTCCATTTCTGTTGCTTATAACAAAATACATGAAACTGAGTGATTTATAGAGAAAACAAAATTTATTGCTTACAGTTTCAGAGGCTGGTAAGTCCAAAGTCCAGGGAGCACATTTCATGAAGTCCTTGGTGGTGGCAATAGTGACCTAGAGGCCTCACATAGCAGAAAATGGCAGAGCAGAGAGGACTTCTCATATGCTCTTCTTTTAAAGCCCTCAGAACCAGGCCGTGACCACCATTATGAATCCGTTCACTATGGCATGGTCCTACAGTCTAATCACCTCCTCAGTGTCCAACCTTTCAATTACCATAATAGGATTTCCCACCCTCATCAGTTACAGTGGGGATTTAAGCTTCAATGCAGTTGGGGAGCACATATGATGGCAGTTTTTTCCTCAGCTTTGTTTTGTAGGTGAATACTCAACTAAAAAGCACATTTAGTGGGAGGAGGAAAACTAAGTCACCATTGAATGGATGGAAAACTACCTGGAATGTATACTTGTACACTAGAGGGATTATATTGATATTTTAAGTTTATACTTTTGGGTTGCTCAATAAAATACAGACTCTTGTAGGCAGAGATGACCATTATAAGCTGCAGCTTTTATCTGGATTTAGGGCTGAATAGTTAACCAGAGCTTAGCAAGTTTTTTTTAGCAGCCGATCTTTGATTTCCATAATCTGCTGTCATTTATTTTATCCCACCCCCTTTTGAAGTATGTAGTTAGACTATATATATTCTTCTTTCACTACACTCTTTTCCCCTATATTGCCACTCTTTTTGTTTCCATCTTGAGCCCTTCAGGAACTCAAGGTCATGTCTGCTGTCATCTTATTGGGCAGGCAAGCTATATGATTTTTATTCCCTTCTACTTTTCAACAGGGCCATTACTTAGTTTGTTCATTCGTTCGTTAGTTAGTTATGAGAAGCTTCCTGGCCTCGTTTTAAAACTCTGGCCATGTGAAGTCTATACCTATTCAGAATTTTAAGCAAATTTTTTTTGTGTAATTGTATCTATGTGTCAGGTAATTGGGTGATTTAATGACTGAAAATAATGGGATTAGTACTTGGAACATAGTTTATTTTAAGAAAGTGGATCAGGCAGATCCAATTATCTTTCTGTGGGATTCAAATCTAGTCCCATTTTATCTCCTCCCCCTTTTATACTTAATTTTATTTCATTTTGCTATTGAGTGTGACCCATCTGAGGGCAGCTAGATACCAATGTCAGTTGTTTGCTAGCTTGTTCCACTCTTCTTGGGATCCAAATATTGGCAGTTATGTCGTCCTCTGGGCTTTTGTTGCTCTTCTTTTCCAAATTGAGGCTTTGGACTCATTTTAATACACTTGGATTTCCTGTCTTCATTTTAAAACTTTAACGTACTCTTCATTTATAAAATTATTAAACCTGTAATTCTCATTTCCTAAAATAGTATGGTCTCCATTGCTGAGAGGGGTGCTTTTTTCTTATATCTGCCTTTTTCCTTCTTGTGATTACTATAACCACAGGAAATGTACCTTCTCCAAATGCACCTTTAAAGAGGGTATTAGCCTATACAGGCTGTTTTAGTCGAATGCAGACCATTAAGGAAATTCATGAATATCTATCTCAAAGGCTACGCATCAAAGAGGAAGATATGCGCCTGTGGCTATACAACAGTGAGGTAAGAGGCATTTCAGAGTCATGGAGAGTTGGATTAAGTGTTAAATCATATTTCATGAGTGTGGGATTTTTGTCTCTAAGTCTTAACTTTTAGATTGCTAGAGACAGTCTGTGACTTAACGATGGATGGTTTGATTTACAATTTTTTGACTTTACAATGGTTTTATCAGGGTATTAAATGCATTTTCAACTTATGGTATTTTGGACTTAGGATAGATTTATCAGGATGTAATCCCATCATAAGTTGAGGAGCATTTGTATATGTATACATGTAGATATTTGTCACCTGAGACCCATAATTACAGTTGATCATTATGGACAATACCATGTAAATATTATCATTATATTATGAAGTAATAGTAAATACCTTTCTTTTGTACTAAATATATTTTATTTCGGATTTGTTTTAAGTTAACTTATAAATATATATGTTTAAAAATACAAACAATACAAAAGTATACAGTGAAAATTCCTCCTTCCATCTTTTGGCCCCTATCTTCCACTCTACTCAGAGGCAATGCAGTTAGTTGCTTATATATTCTTCCTGACATATTCAGTATAGATTATACTCTGAAATTGGATCGTAAGTGTGGTTTTAACCAGTTCTCTATTCCCTAGTGTGCTCTTTCCTACATCCTCCTTTGGTTGCCATTGAGAGACAGTATCATATAGTAGTTTAAGAGCACAGCTTGTGGGGCTGCACTGCCAGGAATCAAATCACGGCTCTGCTACTTTTTAGTTGTTAACTAAGGGCAAGTCACTTAACTCTTTGTGCCTCAGTTTTCTCATGAGTGAAATGGGAAAATAATAGTAACTCCCTCAGGGTAGTTGTAAGAATTAAAAGAAATAAATTTGTAAGCACTTTAGACAGGGTGAGCATAAACCAAAATGTGTAATTCAAATGCTTGCCATTTGGTTTTAAAAACATTTTCATTTCCTAGCAAGTGATCAAGTTTCATTCAGCACATTTACTGAATTTCATACTAGGTGCTAAAGAAAATGTCTTTTCTGCAAGCTCTTCAGAAAATCTGTCTTAATGAACTTTGGTTTGATGTGTGATCGATCTCCTGGTTCCCCCCCAAATTACATATAATTTGTTTTAGGGGTATAGATGTTTATTAAGTACATGTTGTCTTTCCCTCATTTTGACACCTAAATTATAAATATTCCTGAACAACTATAATAGGCTGAATATTTGTAACAAGAGTTATGTAACTGCAGGGAAGTTTTTATTTGTCATTTATTTTTATTTCCCTATTTGTTTCAAGTTTACTATCCAACTTAACAAAAACATTCCCTCCTCTTTACACAGAATTACCTCACTCTTCTGGATGATGAGGATCATAGATTGGAATATTTGAAAATTCAGGATGAACAGCACCTGGTAATTGAAGGTATAAGATAGAAGCATGCATCTATGTATTAGATTTTGGGGGGAAGAATTTGAAGAGTTACCAATAATCAATTTTATAATTTCTCCCAAGACAGTTATTATTTGATCATTATGTTCTTTATGGTAAAGAAAACCCATTGAACTCTTATGTAATCCTACCGTACTATTTAGATGGCTTTAAAAGAAAAATAACCTGTAAAATCATTGGCTGACAGGGGGTGGAGATGGTGGGTAGAAACAAGTTACTTCATTTATAAGTTTACAAAGTTCCTTAAAAATTTCAAGCTGTCTCTTTGAGTTTGAGTAAGGAGAGCAATGTTCTGTTGTTAGTAGCTCAGGCTTTCATTAGACAGCAACACTGGCTGCTCCCCGACAGAGGAACTAGCATATTCACACATAGATTTACACACTGGCATACACATGTCATTGAAAAGTGTGTCTTTTCCCATTCATGGAAACATTGCTAGCTGTCTTTGTATTAAAATGAATAGATTACTCTGACAGTTGTTACAATTTAAGAAGAATTGTAATGTTTCTAATGTTTTAAGTTTGAGAAATTCCATTATGTCTGAGCTTTAATTCCATAAATGATTGGGTATACTATTTACTTCAAGTAGTTAATTGAAGGAATAGTTTATTAATTCTCACCACGTGACTTTAAGTTTCCAATATAAAGAGTAGTAGTGGTTTCAGAGCCAGTTACTAAAATTAATTTGATTTTTTTTCAGTTTCTGATTTGGAAATAAGATACCCCCCTCCTTTTTTTTTAAAGAAGCAATTGAGTGGGTATGAACTGGATGGATAAGAAATTAATATGTTTCTATCTGTCCTTTCAGTTCGCAACAAAGATATGAGTTGGCCTGAAGAGATGTCCTTTATAGCAAATAGTAGTAAAATAGACAGACACAAGGGTAAGTCTCCAGTATATTATTTATAAAGAGATGATTACATTTTATTTTATTTATGTTTCTGGCAGCTGGCTAGTACGGGGATCTTAACCTGTGACCTTTGTGTTATAAGGCTGCACTTTAACCAACTGAGCTAAGCGGCCAATCTAAAGAGATGATTTTAAATTTCTTCTTTTTCTTTTTCTTCCCTCAATTTTTAAAGTACTAACAATTCCTGGGTTTCTAGTTCAAAAGTAATTAGGCCCCTTCTTATTTTTCTTTTCTGCTGAAAGAGCATTTATGTTGGTAAGCCCAAAATCAAATTATTTTCTGAATTTCTTTCTAGCCTTGCAGTTAAATAATTTGTATATTTTAAAAGACATACCAGGAAAAGAATTGTTTAAATTCTCAAAAAAAAAAAAAAAAAAATCATAGCAATTAAAGAGAATAATTGCTGCTTCTGAATTACAAATGAGCATGGATCATTATGATTGCCAAAGACGCTCCATGAAAAACCTTTCCTACTTTAGCATTTGAAAGATCTGGTAGAGAAAGATAGTACCATTTAAAATTACTGCATCAAGCCTGGCCAGTTAGCTTAGTTAGAGCATGGTGTTGATAACACCAAGGTCGAAGATTTGGATCCCCATACCAGCCAGCTGCAAAAAAAAAAAATATATATATATTGCATTGAAAACAAGTAACTTTTATTCTATGATATATTACTACAGCTATGCTTTGGTTCTCATATTGTTTGCTCCAGTTCCCACAGAAAAGGGAGCCACAGGTCTGAGTAACCTGGGAAACACATGCTTCATGAACTCAAGCATCCAGTGTGTTAGTAACACACAGGCACTGACACAGTATTTTATCTCAGGGAGACATCTTTATGAACTCAACAGGTAATCTTTCTTGAGCCATTGTCCTCTTAACCTTCTATGACTTTGATTTGAACTCAGTATCGCCTAAATCTCCTCTTTCTTTAATCTGGGGGAGAAGAATCTCATCTTATTTGCCTTATTTGGTATGAAATAAGGGTATGGGATATTTCTCTTGTTTCAAAAAGAAAAGATATTTTGATTTGATATGCTACACATTTCTGTGCCCACGTGATTGTGATTTATGAGAATCTTTGGCAACACCTTTTCCTCTCAAACTTCTAGGACAAATCCCATTGGTATGAAGGGACATATGGCTAAATGCTATGGTGATTTAGTACAGGAACTTTGGAGTGGAACTCAGAAGAATGTTGCCCCATTAAAGCTTCGGGTAAGCAGGTTAAAATGATATAAAAGTATTTAATTCCTAAACAATTGTTTAAGTAATCATTTTTCTCTACATGTTTTCTGTGTTTAGCTTTTTAGTCTAGTTTAATCTATGTTTTTGGATTCTTCACTAGGCATAAACAAGTTGTCAGACATTTTTACTTGTTCAAATATATGCACAATATGGCTGTATATATAGTAGACAGCAAAACATCAAAGGCATGGTCTGAATTTGGGATGTTCGTTTTACTAATTTGTCAAATATTTCACTTGTATGAATAGTAAACCTTTTTTGGTAATCCTTCATTATTAACAGTATTCTAACTGCAAGGTGGAGATCAGAGTCTAATTAATTGTATCTGATACATTATCAGCATTACCAAGATCGTTAGTTCCATCTGTAGAACATAAAAAAGTAGCAGAATGAAAAAATGTAATTAACGGATGCAAGTTTCATGTTAATAGCATATGTAGTGGATTTTAGTGAAGTTCAGATTATTTATTTAAAAACAAGGCAAAGTCTTTTTAGGTTAAAAATTAATCGTTGTAATAGTTAAAAATCTGACTGCTTACCATTTGCCAGGGACTATTCTAATTACTTTATGTGTGTTAACTCATTTAAACCTCTGGATAATTCTATAATGTAATGCAGTGTTGTTATTCCCATTTTGTGGCTCAGGAAACTAAGGCTCAGAGTAGTTATAGAGGTTGCTCAGTGTTGTAAGCTAGTGAGTCCTCATAGTTAAACACTATGCTATTCTGCCTATAATAATAAAAGTTAGGATGCAATAAGACCAGAAAAGTAACTGTGGAAGAAAACATTACATAGAATAGGAAGTCTTTCAATGTGTGAGCAAATGCTATTTTAATATTTCTTTCTTAAATAACATCTGTATCCCTAAAGAATTTAGTTCATTTATATGGTACTGAACTGGGAGATAGTATTGGCCAGACTACTTCTCTTTTTTTGGTCATTTGAAATTAAGATTGGAGAGATTTCATGATTATTCAAAATATATTTGCTGAAATAGAGACAGATTAAACACTGTTTACTTTCTTATAATGCATCTGATTGAATTATGAGACATGTTCATTCCAAATATTATGGGGTAGGAAATAATGACTGTGACTCCCCTTATATTTATAGTGGACCATAGCAAAATATGCTCCCAGGTTTAATGGGTTTCAACAACAGGACTCCCAAGAACTTCTGGCTTTTCTCTTGGATGGTCTTCATGAAGATCTCAACCGAGTCCATGAGAAGCCATATGTAGAACTGAAGGACAGTGATGGCCGACCAGACTGGGAAGTAGCTGCAGAGGTTTGTTGGTTTTGAGTTTCTAATGTAAGCAATAGATAAAATGTTCTGGCCACAAATACATGTAGCACAACTTAAATGCAAACTGAACTATTCTATGATCAGAATCTTGTGAAAACAAAGGAATTTTTATTTCTATGCTTAATTCTATGCAGTAATAGCCAAAAAAAAAAAAAAATAGAAAAATGTTGCCATTTCATATTGTAAACTTTATGCACTGAGATGTAGGAATAATTATCTAGTGAAATATAAAGCGTACCCATAATTGCTAAATTAATGAAAACAGTGACCTGTAGGTATGTTTTATCTGCTTTTTAATGGACAAAGAACTTTAATACTCACCATTGTTAGCATGGGAAGAACAAATGAAAAATAGAATTTTCCATCTGAATTTAATATTTTATAGGTTGCACAGAAAGAATCACATTCTCTTCAATAACTGGTTTTCTCTACTCTCAGTAGGCAATACATTTTAAATTACATATCTGAATTATAAATTTGTAGGCAAAAAACTTTTATATATATATTTTATATATATAGTGTATACATTTATTTATATATATATATATAGTGGCTGGCCAGTGGGGAAAGCTTTTATATTTTAAGTGAAGATTAAGGACTGTATTCTTGATATTTAAATCCCATATATTTAACAGTTTCTTTATAGATTTGTGTGGACATGCTTATCTTTTAAATTTTGGAGGAAAAAAAAAGCTCTATAATCTTTTTCCTTGGTAGGCCTGGGACAACCATCTGAGAAGAAACAGATCAATTGTTGTGGATTTGTTCCATGGGCAACTAAGGTCCCAAGTCAAATGCAAGACATGTGGGCATATAAGTGTCCGATTTGACCCCTTCAATTTTTTGTCTTTGCCACTACCAATGGACAGCTATATGCACTTAGAAATAACAGGTGGGTCACAAAATTCTGAAAAACTATTTTACTCCTATTTCCTTTACCTTATTCAAGCAACCTGAATTGGTAGTCAGCATATTATAATCAAGCAGTCTAGTTTCAGGCATGATTTGAGGTTTAAAAGATTTGGACTATAGGCCCATTTGTATGCTCATTGATTTTTTAGTTTCAAACATGTCAGAAACTGTCTTTTGCAAAGCCACTCACGCTTCTATATCAGATGAACATCACAAAATATTTAATTTACTCAATATTATCCCTAAGTACCATCTGTTTTAGTGTTCACATACAAAATAAAAATTCTAGGCTGAAACGTTTGCTGATTGCAAGTCAGATATATCTGCATACAACATGTAAGGCTTTCAATCAAATCTTCATTTACTGATAAAAGATCTTTTTTTTTTTTTACTAGTTATTAAGTTGGATGGTACTACCCCTGTACGATATGGACTAAGACTGAATATGGATGAAAAGTACACAGGTTTAAAAAAACAGCTGAGTGATCTCTGTGGACTTAAATCAGAACAAATCCTTCTTGCAGAAGTACATGGTTCCAACATAAAGGTAATATTAACCACTTTTTCTAGGTAACCTTTGATTTCATCTTTCAAAGATCACAGTTTTCTCAGTTATTATTAATTCACTGTTATGATAAATGATCAAGGGAGATACTGCAACATAACAAAAACCAAACAAAAAAACTTATCAAATTTTTCAACTAGAAACGTAAAAGGGCTGTCTACCATCTAAGACATTCTCTTCAAATACATCAGAGAAATAATTTTTCCATTTTATCTGAAATATCTTCCCCTTTTCATCTTGCTTCTTTTTCTGTAGAACTTCCCTCAGGATAACCAAAAAGTACGACTCTCAGTGAGTGGATTCTTGTGTGCATTTGAAATTCCAATCCCTGCCTCTCCAGTTTCAACTTCTAGTCCTATCCAGACAGGTAAGCTAAAACTAGCACTCCTTCTCATGATCTCAGCTTTAAATATTGGTGTAAGGGGTTGTCATCTTTTTATATTTGTTTGTGCTGAGGATATTAGAACAAATGAATTTTGGAGCTCAAAGGAAACATTACTAATCATTTCGCTCAAATTCCTCATTTTATAGATGGACAATCTAAAATTCAGACACCCTAAGTGACTAAGATAGTTATTAGCTAATATACTATTGGAATTCAGGTCTCTCTTAACTTTTATATACTAACAAGACAACAGATGGTATAAGAGGGACATACTACGAAAAAACATTTATAGCTAAAAAGCAATCTTTTTATTGTATTGTGGAATCAATATTGTATGTGGTTTAATATGGTCACTCATTGAGTCCTTTTGGCCACTAATATGCTTTGTCTATTCTTTATACTGCTTGTATTTAGGATAATTCCCTAACTATACTGCTCGTAATTAGGATAATTCCCTAGTTATAAAGGGCATCATAGAGAATGAGCTTCTTCTCATTGGCATGTAGTAGATAGTACTCATGGTGAGTTGGTGGATGATTTAATGTTGCTTTTTGTTTTGGGCTTCACTGTCCAATAGAACTCTGCAATGATGGCAACTTTCTGTGCTCCTTGCCATCCAGTACAGTATCCACGAGTCACATGGGCTGTTGTGCACTTGAATTGTGGCTAGTGAAACTGAGGGATGCATTTTTTATTCAATTTTAATTTTAATTTAAAAAGTAGTATCTGGCTAGAGGCTACTATATTGAACAGAGCATTTTTAGAGGAATGGAGAAATAAATTTTCAGAGAGAGGAAAGAGAAAACAAGTGGTAAAACTGTTTGTGTGCTATAACATATGGTGCTTATATAGATAAACAGTTTCCAGTAATTACTTTTACTTTACCATTTACTCATAGGTGTGGGTTATGGAAGTAAAATCTGAAATTTGCATCTTCTGATAAATCTAGAATTACTATTTGAAGTATGATTTCTTCCTGTCTGTGTTAAAAAGACCACAGTGTCGATGATCTGGGTCCTCAGGGTATTTGAGAAAAGAGCAAAAGCAGAAGTACCACAAGCTTACAACGTTGTACTTACCTTTGAATTTGTAGATTTCTCCTCTTCCCCATCTGCAAATGGGTTCACCCTGACTACTAATGGGGATCTGCCCCGACCAATGTTTATACCCAATGGAATGCCAAACACTGTTGTGCCATGTGGAACTGAGAAGAACTTCACAAATGGAATGGTGAATGGTCATATACCATCTCTTCCTGACAGCCCCTTTACAGGCTACATCATTGCAGTCCACCGAAAAATGGTTAGTTAAGTATTAGACAACTTACTGCTGGTCTTGCCAGTGTCATTTGTGAAACATAGTCATTTTGTCTTTGCAACATCTTTATTGAACGCATTTTCAATGTGTTGCATATGCTAATGTAAGTGATCAGAGCCAGGATTTAGTATCATACATAATGGCCAATTTGTGAAATGACATTTCTCACTCATATATTAAGAGGCAGCAGGATAGCCAGTGCATCCAAGCACTACTTTCTTTAAAACTTTGTGTCTCTTATGTGTTCATGGAGGCATGTACATCTTCTCTGCAATGTGAATGTAGGTGCCTTTGGAGAGGTTTTTTTGTTTTATTTTGGTTTTTTTGCGGGGGGAGGTTGTTTGTTTCTTTTTGGGGGCAACAAGAATGTTCTTGGGCATGGCAAATTGTGCAAACTCTTGATAAACTAATATATAACGATAACATTAAAGGCTGACTGATAAAAACAAAGGAATATCAGAAAACTGTGATCAATACATAGTTGTTAAAATTGGTAACTTGGTAGAGTAGAAAGAGCACTGGGCTAGGAATTGAGCAACCTTTGGTTCAAATTCTGCCACTACGTAGCTCATTGAGCTCTTTGGACTTCAGTGTTCTGATTTTGTAAAATAAAGGAGTAGGTCTGCTAGGTAATTTCTAAGATCCATTAGTTACCCCTACTACTGTTCAAAAATTCACACTATTTCTACTTTTTATTTCCATCTTATTTATTATATTTATTGGATTAAATGTACTATTTCGTAATCATTTAAAAAGCAGATGAACTGGGTTTTTTGAAGATGCAAAGTCAATGTAAAAAAAAAAAAATCAAATACATTAACTAAATAACAACAAGAAGAGAAAACGAAATTATAAAAAATGTGCTGTATTAGTTTCCTAGGGCTGCTATAATAAATTACCATAAACTTGGTGGCTTAAAACAATAGAAATTTATTCTTTCACAGTCTGAAAGCCAGAATTCCAAAGTCAAGGTGTCAACAAGGCTGTGCTTCCTCCAAAGGTTCTAGAAGAAAATGCTTCCTTGCCTCCTCCACTTCTCCTGGCTCCAGGCATTGCTTGGCTTGTGGCTGCATAACTGCAATCTCTGCCTCTTCACATGGCCTTCTCCTTCTCCCTCTGCCTTATAAGAATAAAGACCCTTGTCACTGGATTTAGGGCCCATCCAGATAATCCAGGATGATCTCATCTTGAGATCCTCAACTTAATTACATGTGCAAAAACCCTCTTGCCAAGTAAGGCCACATTCACCGGTTCTGGGAGTTAAATATGGACATATCTTTTGGGAGGCCACCATTCAACTCACTACAGAGACTACAGTATCAAAAAAATTAAGTACCTAGGAATAAACTTCAGTAACATTATGCAAGGCATCTATATATAAAACAATAAACTATCGATAGATATTAAAGAAGACTTGAGCTGGCCAGTTAGCTCAGTTGGTTAGAGTGTGATAACACCAAGGTTTAGGATTTGATCCCTATACTGGCCAGCAAGAAAATTAATTAAGTAATTAATTAATTAAATATTTGAAGGAATAGACCATATTCACGGATTAGAATATTTGATATTTTAAAGCTATCAGTTCTCCACAAACTAATCTACAGATTCACTGCACAATCTAAAAAAATGCTGTGTGTGTGTGTGTGTGTGTGTATGACCTGATAAGCTGATTCTAACATGTGGAAATACTAAGAACCAAGAATAACTGAGACACTCTTGAAGAAGAATAAGGCATGAAGAATTGAGGTACCAGATGACTAATTTGAAAATGGTAGTAATGCCTGTTATTGGCAGTCTTAGAAGAACAAGAGAGGAATCAGAGACCTGTCTTCTCAGCTCTTTCTTCTTTTGGTTGTACATATAGATGAGGTCAGAACTGTATTTCCTGTCATCTCAGAAGAATCGCCCCAGCCTCTTTGGAATGCCACTGATTGTTCCATGTACTGTGCATACCCGGAAGAAAGACTTATATGATGCGGTTTGGATTCAAGTATCTCGATTAGCCAGCCCACTCCCACCTCAGGAAGCTAGTAACCATGCTCAAGATTGGTGAGTTCAGGGAATCAGCCTAGACTCTTGGTTTCCAAACTCCACAAGAATAATTTGTATGATTTTTACATGATTTATAGGACCTATTCCATGTCAAGTTAATCATGCTTGGAAGGACCATTCAGAAAGCATATAATTCAACCATTTGGTTTGATATTTTGAGTAAGAGAGACTGTACAGCTTCCTTTCATCACCTAGATATTCTGTTGTCTAATAATAATCCTTCCATTCTCTTATCTCTTGCCTAGATCCTCTGTTAATGCTTCAGATAATATCCTTATTTTCTGTTATTACAAGAGTAGAGTATGAATTCACCAGGAAATTTGTATCATTTCAGTCCTCTGAAATTCAGAATGGAGTGATGTTGTGTATATACATGAACTTTGAAAAAGTCTCAGGCCATAACAGATGTTTCAGTTGGATTGTTTCCATGCCATGTCATTTTAACATGGGACAATTTTATAAATTTAGGTAAAGATAATAAACATTTTCTGTTTTCTTTTCATTCCTCCTAATTGTTCTTTTGGACTAGTTAGTGCATTTACTTTGAATAATCTTTGGGATTGTGATCCATTACTCAATATCTAAATTGAATTGCAAGTCATTTTCTTGCTATCATGGTGCAAATAAGAGATCTGCTTCTGTGATAACTGAGTAAAAAAGTTCTCTTTGCTTATTTGCTATGGTATGGGGTCTTTTGATGATTAGGATAAGGCTTAAGGTAAATAAATCTTAAAGGAAAACTGCAAATAATAGATAAACAATTTAGTTGATGAATGTTGTGTTTAGTAAAAATGACAATTGGGTGAGATTACATTTAAAGTGAAAGTCTGATTGAATTAGATGAGGACTTTCCCCAGGACTTGGTAATGAATTGGATGTGGAGTTTGAGGGAAAGAGGAGTCTAGGCTAGGTTTTTAGCCCAAGCAACTGTTTGTGAGTGGTGATACCACTTAATGAAAAAAAAGGAAACTGGAGAATGAGCAGATTTTTGCAAGAAATGACAGGAAACAAGTTAAATTCAAGATGTCTGTTACATTCAGCATGAATATTCTTTGCTACAGATATACATATAGGTGTCATCAACAGATAATTGACATTTAAAGCCCTGAGACCAGATGATATCATTTAGAGAGTGAGAGTTAGATAAAGAAGATGCCCAAGATCTAATTTCTGACGCTTTCCAACATTTAGAGGTTGAAAAGAGGAAGAGTAGTAACAAAGGAGATTGAGAAGGAGTAGCTAGTGATGTAAGAAGAAAACCAGGAGTGAGCAGTTAACCAGAAGTTAGGCGAAGGAAGTATTTCAGGGAAGGAGTGATGAGTTGTTTCAAATGCTACAAGGATATTGAGTGAGAAGAGGACTGAGAATTGCCTAGTGGATTTGATAAAATGACAGTCTTCATTGACTTTTGTAAAACTGTTTTAATGGAGTGGTAGATGAAGGCATGGAGGTTAGAGTGGGTTAAAGAGAGAATGGCTCCACAGACAGTAAAAAGATAATAAGAGCTTATCTTTTGGAAATACACACTGAAATATTTATGGATAAAATGATAAAATGCCTCTGATTTTCATTAAAAAAATCTGCTGGGTCACAACAGGTGGAAACAACCCAAGTGTCCATCAATGGATGAATGGATAAACAAAAAGTGGTATATACATACAATGGAATGTTATTTAGCCATAAAAAGGAATGAAGTTCTGACACATACTACAACATAGATGGATCTTGAAAACATTAGGCTAAACAAAATAAACCAGACACAAAGGACAAAGATTGTATGATTTCACTTTTATGAGATATCTAGAATAGGAAAATTCATAGAGACTGAAAATAGAGTAGAGACCAGGGTCTGGTAGTCTCTATCTCTACCACTACTAAGGTCTGGTGGTCTGGTGGCAGGGAGGGGGTTATCATTGCTTAATGGATAAGAGTTTATGTTTGGGAAGACGAAAAAGTTCTGGATATGGATGGTGGTAATGGTTGTACAACATCGTGTATGTACTTAATGCCACTGAATTGTATACTTAAAAATGGTTAAAATGGTAAATTTTCTGTTATGTATATTTTATCACAATTTTTTGATGGGGGAAATATAGACTGTAGTGGGAGGGGGTAGGGGTATGGATAAAGTAAGAATGGCCAGGTGTTGATGATTATTGTAGTTGGGTGATGAATACATGGGGTTCATTGTACAGTTCTCTACTTATGTGGGTCAGAAGGAAAATGAGGATTTGAGGCCAGAGATTGGAGGTTTCTATTTGGCCAAAGAATTGTTAAGAGCAGAGATATTTGAATAAGTGATCTAAAAAGATAGGAGAATATGGTTGCAAAGTAGGATACTTAGAATTGAGATTTTGGAGGTGGTAAAGTTTGTATTAACAAGGTCTAGAATATGACAGTTGGAAAGGTGGATCATATGGGGTAGAGGGAATTGTTTTTTGGCAGAGAGAAGGCCAAGATATTGTTGTATTAGTTACATTGATGTTGCTGTCACCAAGAATAATAAAAGAAGTGATGGAGAGAAAAACAGTGAACCAGGTGGTAAAATCTTTAGTGAATATAGTGAATAAAGAAGAGATGATGCACCTACCAAGGAGGAATAGCAGGTGTCATAGTTCAATAGCACATGCTACAAAGAAGCTGGAATTTTTTAGAAAAAGAAGGAAGGAGATTCATCTAGAAGTGGCAAAGAGGAGTAAGGAGGTGATCCATATCACCTCCAGGTTCTGGGGTATGTGAGAATAAACAGGATCCTCAAGAATGGTAGGCTTCGTTCAGTTAGAACAAAAAGGTAAAGGAAATTTTCAGGAGGGGGGCTGCACAGTTCCCCATGAGAGTGCTACTTGATCGTTTTGTCCCTTTATCTTTCTTTTGATTCCTTACTTACTGTTGACCTGATTTGGACATGATTCTGGACAGTATGGGCTATCAATAATCATTCTCTGAATGAGTTATGCCCAAAGATGGGGACTCCTATGCCAGATGTGATACTCACTTTTGTCCATACAGTGAGTCTTTATCACAGTTTTATTACCTTTAGCAGCCATGTAAGAGACTACCAATTGCCAGAGGAGCTGTAAAATATACTGCTCTTATGTCCTTGCATTGCTTTGTCCCCAAGCCCAGTTTTACTGAACTATTATTGACAAATAGGAATTGTATATATTTAAGGTATACAACTTGATGTTTTGATATATGTATAAATTGTTACATTGCTTCTTCCTGGGGCAAAGATAAGTAAATTTTTTTAAAAGTTGGAGAACTCACAAAGCTATCTTGACACAATTGTTGACAGTTAAAAGAAGTTGCTCCAAGAATAATATGTAGCTTATAGTATGTATCACATCAGGGATTCTGATTAAAGAATGCTTCTTAGTATACAGCCTTCTGTGTCATGTTAATGTTTTTGACATGGAAAGGTTTAATTATTTTAGTTTAATGTGCATTAAATCCTCTGATAGAATTAGGACTGAAGGATAATTGGTGTTTGATTTCATGATTAGGTTATCTTATAAAATTTTCGTGAACCACATGAACTCTCTTAGAGACATCTGGCGGTCTAGTATGTCTCCCCTTCTGTAAGCAGAGATGCAGCATGGGAGTCAAGTTGGTACAAAGTATGATTGGTACAGAGTGTGGTTGATAATGGATTAGGGTAAGCAGCATTGAGCCATCAACATGAGCATACCACTGTGGCAAATGCCCCTTCCTAAGATTGCTTCAAGGGAAGAGGAAGAGGAATTGGACCTCAAACCAGAAAAACGTCTTACACTTTTGGTTTATTTATGTTCTCTTCTGTTTCAGTGATGACAGTATGGGTTATCAATATCCATTCACTCTTCGAGTTGTACAGAAAGATGGGAATTCCTGTGCTTGGTGTCCATGGTATAGGTAAAGTGACCTTCTGCAAAAGAAAAATTTTAGTAGAATTGCAGCTTCAGATATTATAGCTTTTTCATAAGATTTTCAGTTTTGAGAAGTGATAGCAAGTCATAAAAAGCTTGAAATAAACTTGTTCATCTCTTCCTTGTGAGGTCAAAAGCTAAGTTTTGCTTTTGAGACTTAGCTGGTTTTATAAACTCCACAGTGCACACCAAATTCATAGCTTATGGTCAACATTTATTATTCTATACCTTCTGCTCTTTAAATGTAAATCAGTTTTCAAGACTTTGCTGGAAGTCTATTTTTGGTTTTTAGAAGAGTTAGGGAGATTGGTTGTTGATGTTACAGCAGGGAAATTGCCTGACAATACTGAAGTTAACCTTTAGAGAATGTAATAGACTTAGCAAACTGAATCTAAAATAGGCATTGGAGCCATGGCTTTGTCATGCACCACTCCTCCCTGCCCCTCACAACATGATAAATTTTGGTATACATTTATTTAATGGACCATTTTACAAACAAGGGCATAGGTGTTTCTATACCAGATAAATCGTCCTACGTCAGAGCGTTAAATCACTGAATATAGAATTTCTTTAGAGCTGTATTAACTTAAATAGCCAATTCCCATATCATTTATTTGCCATAAAGCTGACATCTTCTTGTGTATAACAAACGGTCATCAAGTACTTCATAAAATCAGAGGCTCAACAAGTGATAAGCATGATTCCCTGAAGTAATAATTATTATTAATAAACATTCCTGCATTTGTCATAATCTGAAGTTAGCAGCCATTGACAAATTGTGAAGCCAAAGAATAAAGTAGAAAAGTTAGGAAGGGAATATGAAGGTACTTTAGAAATTTCGTGGAAACATAGAATTAAAAGATAATATGAATTTGTGAACTTTTTGAAGTACCCTCATATTTCTTTTTATTTTTGCCTGAAAAAAAAGCACTTAATACCCTCGTATTTCTGCTTAAGAAAAATTAGATTCCTTTATAATTATTTCTTCCTCTGTGGACCTGTTTCCCCCTTTTAGATTTTGCAGAGGCTGTAAAATTGATTGTGGGGAAGACAGAGCTTTCATTGGAAATGCCTATGTTGCTGTGGATTGGGACCCCACAGCCCTTCACCTCCGCTATCAAACGTCACAGGAACGGGTAGGTGATTGGGTGGGGCCACCATAAGATGGTAGTTTTTTGGTTTTTTTTTTCCTTTTTGTCTTTTTTCGTGTCCGGCAACGGATCGCAACCCTCAGTGTCGCGCCCGTACCAGACCGGGACCGGCAACGGGATCGAAATCCTCGGTGTTGCGCCCGCACCTCGCTCAGCCAGTGAGCGGGAACCGGTCTGTATGTGGGATCTGAACCCTTGGCGGGAGCGCAGCTGTGCTCCCAAGCGGCGCACTGTAGCAGTGCGCCACCGGGCCGGCCCAAGATGGTAGTTTTTATATGGGCAATTTTCCCCAGTCTAACTATATTATATGCCATTTCTGTTTTAGATAATTTAAATGCAGCCGGAAAAATGTTTATTGGCATTCTTTGTCGCTTAATACATTGACATGATTGCATGGATTTTTCAGTTTTCCAGCTTCTGGAGTTAATTGTTTGGGGGCATTAAATTTCAAAACATTAATAAATAAAGTAAATCTTGAAACAAAACTATGTAATTAAGAAGTTATATTCTTTGGCCATGACATACCAATAAACATCTCTCTGCCTGTTAAATATTATTGAAGCTACAGCATTTGGTAACCACAATTAACTTATCTCAAATGTGTCCCAGGATTATAGCAGCTACTTTTAATGAGAATAATGATCAGAAAACTTAGAGAAAGGATTGAAATGTTTCAAGACTGGATACCTGAGTACATCTCATTGGCTGTTCTCCACACATCGCATTCCCTCTACTGCCGTGCTCCAGCCAGAGCTATTTTTGAATTCTGAAAATCTTACTTCAGAAAGAATACTAACTACTAACTCCATACTTAAAAATGTTTGCTTCAAATAGTTTTGGTGGGGTTTTTTTTCTTTTTTTTAACAACTATAAGGAGGTAGAAATGTCTCAGGCAGTTTTTAATCAACCAAATATTGTTTGAAGTTGTAGATGTATTAAGAATCTGATGGAGAAGTAAAAACAACAGAATGAAAGGACTGTCTTTTTTTTTTCCCCTTTGGTTGTAGCTAGTAGTGAGATTTGAACCATTGATCTTCAATAACACCACACTCTATGGGCCGGCCCGGTGGCGCACTCGGTTGAGTGCGGTGCTTGGGAGTGTGGCGGCGCTCCCGCCGAGGGTTCGGATCCCATATAGAGACCGGTCCGCTCACTGGTTGAGCGCGGTGCGGGCGCAACACCGAGGGTTGCGATCCCGTTACCGGTCACGAAAAAAGACAAAAAATAAATAAATAAAAATAACACCACACTCTAACCAACTGAGCTAAGTGTTCAAGCCTTCAAAGGAGTTTCTTAAGTCCATGAGGAATTGTAGTAGTTTTTGCATTTATAGGGCTCTTGATTATTGGCAAGTTTCTTCACTATTTCTTAAAGCATTCCCTTTAGATAAGTTAGTAATGGTAATTGACTGTTTTGTCTTTTTATGCTATTGAAGAGTGGGGAAACTACCAATTCAGACCTAGGTTCCTATTTGGATCCCTGGATATACCCTTATACACCCTGGGGCTTTTTTGGTAGCTCTTTCTAGCCCAGGATGAGTATAATTTGTTGATACGTGTTAAATGAAAGATCACTGGGCTAAAGAAACTGAAGAGAAGTTGCTGTTCTATATCATGCTCACTATAACAAAGTAATTCAATAACCTCAGCCATGCTTCCTTTGAAGAGGGAAAATTTTAAGCAATTGATAGATTTCTAAGTCTTTGTCAGCACAAAATCTGACAGGACATTATTCTGACAAGACACTCCTGTCAAAGATGAAAAATTATTTAGCTCTGTAAATCTCTTCCCCTTTTAAACAAGCCCAACATGCAAGCTCTGGAGGACGTCCCACTTATTCGAGGAAGAACCTACCTGACCTGTTAAATTTCAGCTCACTTTTACTTTCAGTGATGCACCTAGGCTACCATGGAAACAAGCAGCTATTGAGATATTCTGCCTTGCTGGGGTATGGGGCCACATGACTAATCTGGGCTCTTCCTACATGTGGTTTCTGTATGTGCTTAGAGTCACATAGACAAAGGAAGTTCTATGACTCAAAACTGAGATTATTGCCCATATCCTTTCTATTTTTTATTCCAGTGATTTTCCTTCTAGGAATTTACTCTAAGGGAATAGGATAGTCTATAATTTGCAGACATGTTCATAAGCATTTTTTAGAATAGTAAAAAATTAGAAACAACTTATTTTTGTCCCACATTAAAGGAATGGTTAAATAAAGCATGATATATTCATTGAGTAATATATTATGCAGTCATTGATAATGATGATAACCAGGAGTTTTTACTGACATTTATGGGAAGATAATTAATGATATCATGTTAAATTTGTATAAATAGCAAGATATAAAATTGCATATACTGGAAAAAAATCTCTTCAGTATTAAAAAAAGAAAAAATGCTGTTTAAGAAAAGGATGAAAGAAAATCTGCCAATATTTTTACAGTGGTTGCTTTTGTATTAAGAATATTTGGATCCCCATACTGCCTAGCTGCCCTCCCCGCCCCCCGCCAAAAAAAAAAAGAAGAGGTTTGGCTGGTTAGCTCATTTGGTTAGAGTGCGGATTTGTAACACCAAGGTCAAGGGTTCAGTTTGCCAGATTGGCCAGCCACCAAAAAAAAAAAATCAAAACTTTTCCTCCCTTTTTATATTTTTCTTTTCTTTCCAAAATTTCTGTGTGAATATTTTATTTTGTAATTAAAACAAACAAAAATAGAGGGGCAGTTGCTCTTATTCTTTGCATTTTCCCACTGTTTGGACCTCACAGTCCTCAAAAAATTTTTCTTTTTTATTCTCAGTAAAAATTAAACTAGATAACTCATTACATCTTTCTCTTTTTTTAATAGTCTTATAATGTATGAAAACTATTACTTCATTCGTGTTAAAGGTGAGCTTTAAAGCTACTTAGAAAATAAAAGAAGAGGGTACCTATAAGTAATTTAGACTATTTGAACAATAGTAGAGGATCTGGTCCTGGATCTCAAGAAGTAAAGGGACTCTTTATCATTTAGGGAAATTTTATTGATAAATAGAAATTATTGTCAGACCACAAATGTGTTTTTTATCAGCCTTCCTTCCTCCCTGTTTCTTTCTAGCTCTAAAGCCTGTGTTCCACAGAAAATGTAGTCAAGAAAAATCAGCACTCTTTACTAGCTTATTATAATTTGTGGTTGGCCATAAAGCATCCCTGGTAGAGATAATAGAGATAATATTTAACTTGCTATGAGAAAAGAGACAATACTGTACAAGGATACTTTTAAAAGCTCATGCAAAAAAACTAAGAACAAATAAGAAAAAAATTTTTAAATGTTCATGCAAAGATTCATATTACCTTTCAATTCTATTTTTCCATGAACTTTTTGAAGTACCCTCGTATTTGATACACCTCTTTTGCTACTCATTCCAACAACCATGACGCAGCATGTTTCCTTTTGAAGCATGTCAGTTTTTCCCTTGAGTAACCAGCTTAAAAGATGATGAGAGTTAATATCTTGTTACTACAGAATTTGTGCTGAGAAAAGAAGTCAGTGACCCAAGGTCAAGCCAGGTCTCCTTTTCTAAAAAAAGAATTTTCTCTAAGTTCCCCTTTTTAAATGACTTCTTTAGACTGGGTGGTGATACAATGCTAAAACTTTAATTGCTTGATCAACCCCAAAAGTGATAGCTTGTTAGGGCCATTTGACAACCTTGTAACCCGTCCTTTCCTATAGGGAAAAGGTCTCACTTGAAAACCTATTCTAAATTGAATGTCCTGAGCTGTGCCAATTTGTAATCCAGACAGCTCATTGTTCCCATCCTGAGTTTTAGGAAGGGAAACGTGGGGGAAATTGCCTCAGGGGAAGAGAACAAGTTCACCTCTGGAAGGGAGGAGTAATAAGTAGGGTGATGGACATACGATGGTACTTCAGAAAGTTCGTGGACACCGGTTCACTCGGGAGAGGGCAGTGCTGATAACACCAAGGCCACAGGTTCGGATCCTATATAGGGATGGCTGGTTCGCTCACTCGCTGAGCGTGGTGCTGACAACACCAAGTCAAGGGTTAAGATCCCCTTACCGGTCATCTTTAAAAAAAAAAAAAGAAAGAAAGTTCGTGGACAAATAGAATTGAAAGATAATATGAATCTTTCCATTAAATTTCTTTTCTTTTCTTTTTTTTTTTTTTTTTTTTTGCCTTTTTTGTGACCGGTAAGGGGATTGTATACTTTCTATTAGGTTGGATTTTTTTGTTTGTTTTTAGAAGGATGAATTAATAGTGTTTTCGCAAGCTGTAAGGTGGGGGAGGGGAGAGCAACCTCAAATTCACAGTCATGGAAGTCCAGCATTTTAACTTCATGGCCTCTCAAACAGGGCAGAGTCCCTTTCTTTGGTTCATTCATAAACACTCCCATCTTTTTGTCTGCCTTCCCATCCCCCTCCAAAACAAAACATTTATTAAATGAAGCTTCCAACTGTGACAGAAATTACAGTCATGTTAATGGTACAGACGGTGTAAAAAATGCAATCTAAAAACATGATTAAAAAACTCAGGGGCTAGGTAACCCAAGTTCATCTTGGATATGGCTGACCAGACATCTAAGAGAAAGGAAATACACGTTTTTAGTTAATTAGTTTGCTTTTATCCATCCCTGTAATTAGAACATGCTTTTCCCCTACTATGTAACCCTTGGCTTGGTGTGGCCTGCACCGCACTCAGCCAGTGAGCGCACCGGCCATTCCTATATAGGATCCGAACCTGCTCCCGAGTGCGCCACGGGGTCGGCCCCTTTCCATGAACTTTTCGAAGTACCCTCGTAGATGTGACCTTTGCAGAAAGAGAGGCAGTCATTATTGGACTTGTAGTCTGTGCTCTACCTTGGGACAAAAATCTCCCTGTGTGAAGTCTCATGGTAGTGTTCATCATTCTGATACTTTGCCTAACCCACCTTCTCATTCGTAATAGAGACCAACAGAAGGGTCCTAGCTCCTTGGGGGGTTTTTTTGGTGGGGGGGCGGAGAGGGCTTTTTTTGTTGTTTTTTTGTTTTTTGCAGCTGGCAGGTACAAGGATCCATGGTTCTTGATTGCTTGCCAGGTGGCAGCCAGGTATGGGAGAGGGAAAAAAATTCTTTTTTATTGCATTCTAGGTCCTTTCTTCTCTCCCTACTCCCCATTCTCTAGCACCCGCAACACACATTTCTACACACCTACCCCACTTTGCTCTCTCTCCTTTTTTATGCTTGCCTCCTTCTTGCTCCAAAGCCTACCTAAAAGGCCCAGAGGAATTAAGGGCCTTCTCAACAAAAGGAGCATGCTCTTTTGAGCTTGCTGTTCCTTTTATTACCACCTCAGATTTTTAAAAAGCCCTCTGAGACAGGAGACAGATAATGATACAAGAGGTATTCCAATAACTCTGTGTTATATAGTATCAGTATGCAAATGAGTTGCATCCTCTAGAGTTTAATGCTCTGGTTTTTTACTTTCTCATGGTGAACTTTTCTGTACCCTTTCTTATTTCATACAGATCTGGCATCTGTGAAGCCTACAGCATACTAACAATGCTCTGTCTTTCTGGTTAAAAAATAAATGGCTTACTTGCAGCACCCCTGGCTTGAGGGTCAGCTCACATGTAAACTGTTTCAGGATTCTAAAATTGTGAAATAAACAGTCAGTTCCTTGTTTGTTTTTGTTTTTGTTTTTGTTACTTTGAAGCCTTTAGAAATTTTTCAAGAAAAGCTACAAGTCATATAAATAGAGATTTTATCTAAGATGTTACTGGTAAGATATTTGTGAATAAATGCTAGATGCTGTATTTGCTCAAAGACTCTAGTTTGGGTTGTATTTTCTTTTTCCTCATGTAGAGTAAGATAAGGGTTAGTAAACGAGAGCATGATGCATAGCTGTATGACAATTTTAAATGCCCTCGCCATAACCCCCATTCCTCCCATTCCCTCTACCTGCAGGTTGTAGATGAGCACGAGAGCGTGGAGCAGAGTCGGCGAGCACAAGCTGAGCCCATCAACCTGGACAGCTGTCTCCGTGCTTTCACCAGTGAAGAGGAGCTAGGGGAAAATGAGATGTACTACTGTTCCAAGTGTAAGACCCACTGCTTGGCAACCAAGAAGTTGGATCTCTGGAGGCTTCCCCCGATCCTGGTATGTGACAGTCCTGCCTCTGAGAGAGTAGAAGTTTAGCATAAAGGAAAGAAGTCATGAACAAACAGGAATGTTTGTTATTTTTGAGAATAAGACCCTTCCTACAGCAGTGTTTAAAACACTTTTTCTGGGGCCGGCCCGGTGGCGCACTGCTACAGTGCGCTGCTTGGGAGCGCGGCGGCACTCCCGCTGAGGGTTCGGATCCCACATACAGACCGGTTCCCGCTCACTGGCTGAGCGAGGTGTGGGCGTGACACCAAGGGGTGTGATTCCGTTGCCGGTCCTGGTCCAGTACGGGCGCGACACTGAGGGTTGTGATCTGTTGCCGGACACGAAAAAAGACAAAAAGGGAAAAAAAAAACAAAAAACACTTTTTCTGTGCAAGGTTTTTATGTTGAGCACGGAGATGAATTATTCAGCAGATGTTTGATAGTTTCTTTTTCTAACGAACTTACAGCCTAGGAGAGAGACATCATTTAGACCAGTAACTGCAATTCACTGCAATGTGAGAAGTGCCACAGTGGTACACCCTGATGAATTTGAACACATCTGGCTCTATGGAGAGAGGAAGCTTTAGGCTAGCTTTTCATAGCCTATAGAAGAGCAACTGGGCTGGGAGCTCCCGTTACTGCTGCACTTGGTCACGGGCTGTGGCACACTGCCAAGTTATGTTTGTGTGCACAAGCACATCAATGCACTGAGCTTTATATATTCTTTTAGATTTGATTTACTTCTGCCTTCTCCCTTCATGGATTTGAAGACTCTCCTGTTGCTTGTCAGGAGAATTTGAATTGACAAATCTTCCTAATTGCTTAAGGAAGCCTTTTCCTTAAGGGTGGAAGTACCATCAAATGTAACTGTAAGGTACTAGTATATTTTAACCGGGCGTGTATGTATTTTCTTATTCATGTCTTCATCCTACTACTCTGTGAAACTGAATGTAGGTTTTTCTTTCCTTAGACCAGAACAGCTTGCCAGGGAAGAATGCACAAGAAATGAATAATATTGGTTAGCTAGCTCCAGGGATGGAAAATGGGAGAAGGGAAGAGGGTAAAAGTAGGCTTAGGGACATGGTAGGTGGGGAAGGGGGAGCCTTATTTTAAAATCGAGGTATAACTAACATACAATTAGATGCATAGATTTTAAATGCCCAATTTGATAAATTTTGGCAATTACATATCATCATATAACCACTACATAAAACACATCGTGGAGTAAAGGCATTTATCAAAACCATATTTTTTGCCGAGCCCGTGGTGCACTCGGGAGAGTGCGGTACTGGGAGCGCAGCAGCGCTCTCGCCACGGGTTCGGATCCTATATAGGGATGACCGGTGCGCTCACTGGCTGAGCACGGCACGGCCAGTCTCAAAAAGGACCAAAAAAACCCCCCAAAAAAACCCCATATTTTTGAGGTCTTTAAAGAATAATGAAGAATAAATGTTATGTTGTATATTTTTTAATATTATGTTGTGTATTCATATGTATTAGACATTTTTTATGTAAATATCTTCAGAACACTTTAACATAGATGTTTTCTACTTTTTGTTCTCCAGATTATTCATCTTAAACGATTTCAATTTGTAAATGGTCGATGGATAAAATCACAGAAAATTGTTAAATTTCCTCGTGAAAATTTTGACCCTAGTGCTTTTTTGGTACCAAGAGACCCCGCTCTCTGCCTGCATAAACCACTCACACCCGCAGGAGATGACCTCTCTGAGCCAAGGGTTCCAGCAGGAGAAGCGAAGAAAGTGGATGCCCAGAGCTCAGCAGGGGAAGAGGAAGTGCTCCTGAGCAAGAGTCCATCCTCACTCAGTACAAACATCATCAGTAGCCCAAAAGGTGAGGAGGCCTGGGGGTACCTAATGGAGGGGCTTTCTTGGGACTGTGTAGGCATATTTCCCTCTGTCTTCTTCTCTGGAGCAACAGTTTGGTGGGGTAGAAGGAACCTATGTGGAATCAAACCTATCTATATTTGAGTTACGTTGACTTTTAACAAGCTATATAGCCTCCCTAAATCTATTTTCTTATCTGTAAATGGAGATAATACTAAGTTCACAGGATGTGAGAATTTGATTTATCAAGAGTGGAGCAAGGGGCCGACCCCATGGCTCACTCAGGAGAGTGCAGCGCTGGGAGCGCCAAGGCTGCAGGTTCGGATCCTATATAGGCATAGCCGGTGCGCTCACTGGCTGAGCGCGGTGCAGACGACACCAAGCCAAGGGTTATGATCCCCTTACTGGTCACCAAAAAAAAAAAAAAACCATTCACTCAAACTCTATCTTTTGATTAGAGACTTTAATTCATTTCCATTTAAAGTAATTCCTGATAAGGAAGAACTTATGCCATTTTATTGTTTTTTCATATACATCTTATGCCCTTTTGTTCTTTAATTTCTTTATTACTGTCTTTTTCTTTTTTTGTTTTGTGCCTCTGGAATTCTTTCTGTTTTTCTTTAATGTATAGCTTTCATTTTTTCTTTTTTTTTTTGGTGGTTTTCATGGGGATTACAGTTACTGTCATCCTAAATTTGTTAATAACCTTATTTGAATTAATACCAACCCATCTTCAATAACATACAAAAACCCTGCTTTTATACAGTTACATTTCTCCACGTTGTTTTTTTCAAAATTTGTGTCTTCATACATTGTCTCTGTACATCTTTATATATTGTGTGCCCATTGACACACATCTATAGTAATTGTTTTCATTCATCTTCTAAGTCCTGTAGGAAATAAGAAAGGGATGTACAAATTAAAAATATTATAGTACTGGCTTTTATTTTTACCTACATGCTTAACTTTACTGAAGTTCTTTATTTCTTTGTATGGCTTTAAGTTACTGTCTAGTGTCCTTTCATTTTAGTCTGATGGGCTCACTTTACTATTATTTGTATTGCAGGTCTTCTAGTGACAAACTCCCTCAGCTTGTGTTTCTGTGGAAATGTCTTGTTTTGTCCATATTTGAAGCATAGAATGGCTGGATATAGAGTTCTTGGATGATAGGGTTTTTTGTTGTTGTTCAAACTTTAAAAATATCTCTCAACCTAATGGCCGGCATTGATTTTGATGAGAAATATGTTACTCTTACTGAATATTCCTTGTACTTGACAAGTAGCTGCTCAGAATTTTCAAGATTTTTGTTTTTTACATTAATTATATCTCAGTGTGGATCCCTTCATGTTTATTTTTGGGGGTATGTTGATCCTCTTGAATGCATATACATTTATTTTATTAAATTTTGGAGGTTTGGGGTCATTATTTTTCTTCAAATATTTTCTCTGCCCATTTGTCTTGCCCCTTTTCTTCTGGAAATTCTGTTATGCATATGTTTTTAGACATGATTGTGTCCTATTGGTTTCTTAGGCACAGTACTTTGGTTCCCCTAATATTTGTTTCTCTTACTGTTAAAAACTAAAAACATTAGTAAAGCCAGCCAATGTAACCTTTAAAAGCTATGAAGGCATGATTCACATTTCATACCAACAGGAAATGATGTCTGTCAGGTAATTCATTGATAAGTTCCTACCTTTATTTGACTGATGTCACTAAGAGACCTTGTGTAGAAGTACACCAGCATCATTGTAATAGAGTATAGACCTTTTCTGAGCTCAATCTTGAAACTTCTAATGTTTGCAGTGTTAAAATGTTTTGCAGATGCATGCCAGTGACACAGACTAAATAATGTCTCTTCGTGGGAAATTTATGATCATTTAAGTTTCTGTACATGTATTTGTATATGATCCAGAATATATTTGTATTAAATAGATGAAGCAGCTAGCTTATTTTTTTCAAATGTAATTCAGCAAACACTTTGGTTCCCCTAATATTTGTTTCTCTTACTGTTAAAAACTAAAAACATTAGTAAAGCCAGCCAATGTAACCTTTAAAACCTATGAAGGCATGATTCACATTTCATACCAACAGGAAATGATGTCTGTCAGGCAATTCATTGATAAGTTCCTACCTTTATTTGACTGATGTCACTAAGAGACCTTGTGTAGAAGTACACCAGCATCACTGTAATAGAGTATAGACCTTTTCTGAGCTCAATCTTGAAACTTCTAATGTTTGCAGTGTTAAAATGTTTTGCAGATGCATGCCAGTGACACAGACTAAATAATGTCTCTTCGTGGGAAATTTATGATCATTTAAGTTTCTGTACATGTATTTGTATATGATCCAGAATATATTTGTATTAAATAGATGAAGCAGCTAGCTTATTTTTTTCAAATGTAATTCAGCAAAATAATAAAATACTAAAACCAGATTTTTTATTACATCATTTGAAAATTACTGGTGTGCTTAATGAAAATTTGTTTAGGTATAAACGAGCAGTTAAGATACAAACGATTAAACAATTTAAAAGTAAAAAAAAAAAAATCCGATTAAAAAATGGGCAAAGGAGCTGAATAGACATTCTCAAAGGAAGACATACAAATGACCAACAGATGCATGAAAAATTGGTCAGCATCACTAATCATCAGGAAAATGCAAATCAAAACCACACTGAGGTATCATCTCACCCCAGTTACCCCGGCTATTATCAAAAAGACAGAGAATAACAAATGCTGGCAGGATGTGGAGAAAGAGAAACACTTCTACACTGTTGGTGGGACTGTAAATTAGTGCAGCCATCATGGAAAAAGAGTATGGAGGTTTCTCAAACAACTACAGATAGATCTATTGTACGATCCAGCAATCCCAGTACTGGGTATATATCCAAAGAATGGAAATCATGTCAAAGGGATCCCTGCACTCCCATGTTTACCGCAGCTCTATTTACAATAGCCAAGATATGGAACCAACCTAAGTGTACATCAATGGGCAACACACACACACACACACACACACACACACACACACACACACACAGTGGAATACTACTCAGCCATAAGGGCAACACACACACACACACACACACACACACACACAGTGGAATACTACTCAGCCATAAAAAAAGAGTGAAATTCTGCCATGTACAGCAACGTAGACAAGCTTGGAGAAACTTATGTTAAGTGAAATAAGCGAAGCACAGAAAGAGGAATACTGCATGTCCTCACTCCTAAGTAGGAGGGAAGGAAGAGAGGGGTAGAAGGGAGGACAATCATAATAAGTTGAACTTTCAGAAGGAGAGAACAGAACTGTGATTGCTAGAGGTGGGAAAAGGGGAGAGGGAGAGGGATAGTGAGAATTTGGTTAATGGACACACAGAATGATTATGTTTTGTAATGACGAATATGCTAATTACCCTGATTTGATCATTACATATTGTACACAATTATTAATAGTCAAGTCTGTACCCCACAAATATGTATAATCAATTATGTTTCAATAAAAAAAATAAAGGATTTATGCATGCTGTGACTTAGTCTATGGATTTATTCCAAAATTGCTTAGTCACCATGCAGTGCTTGTATTTTTATATATGTATTCATATGTACATAAGTGTAATTCATAATAAGAATGAGGTGGTATTACATTATTCCTAATAATAGGTAAAAGGCTTTTAAGTTTCATTAAAGAGTAATATTGCTCTCTTCAATTAATGGCCCTTTTATTTTGGGGACTAAGCTTTTCTTTTCCCTGATATTATTCCTATTTAATATTCTATTCTCTCGAGAAAAAGAAAATACGTTCTTTTTTTGTTGTCCTTCATAGTGGACCAAATATTACCTCCCTGCCATAGAAAGCTACTGTCAATACATGCTGTAGTTTGACATTCTGAATCGTAGATAGATGATATTTAAAATCTATTTATACTTTATAAAGAAATCAGGGCTGGCTGGTAGCTCAGTTGGTTAGAGCATGGTGCTGGTAACACCAAAGTCCAGGGTTTAATTCCTGTCTCAATCAGCCACCAAAAATAAAAAAAGATACCAGGTAGAGTAATGTTACAGAGTGGAGAGAATGAGGAAGCTACGTCTGACTGCCATTCTCACAGCCACTGAAGTACATTGAGCTCCATAGAGACAGGGCTGGGGCAAGTGAGAGCCAGGCAGGCACTGGGCAACTCTGTGCCTCGCTGGGGAAAAATAAATAACCACAGGCAAAGGAGATCCTAAGAAGCCAAGAGGAAAAATGTCATTATATGCATTCTTTGTGCAAAATTGGTGGCAGGAGCACAAGAAGTAGCACCCAGATGCTTCAGTCAACTTCTCAGTTTTCTAAGTGCTCAGAAAGGTGGAAGACTATGTCTGTTAAAAAGAAAGGAAAATTTGAAGACATGGCAAAAGTGGACAAGGCCCATTATGAAAGAGAAATGAAAACCTATATCCCTCCTAAAGTGGAAACAAAAAAGAAATTCAAGAATCTCAGTGCACCCAAGAGGCCTCCTTCAGCCTTTTTCTTGTTCTGTTCTGAGTATTGCCCCAAAATCAAAGGAGAACATCCTGGACTATCTACTGGTGATGTTGCAAAGAAACTGGGAGATATGTGGAACAACACTGCTACAGATGATCAACAGCCTTATGCAAAGAAGGCTGCTAAGCTGAAGGAAAAATACAAAAAGGATATTGCTGCATACCGACCTAAAGGAAAGCCTGATGAAGCAAAAAAGGGACTTGTCAAACCTGAAGAAAGCAAGAAAAAGAAGGAAGAGGAGGATGAAGAGGATGAGGAGGAGGTGGGTGAAGAAGAATATGAAGAGGAAGATGATGATGAATAAGTTGGTTCTAGCACAGTTTTTATTTTCTTGGTTATAAAGCATTTAATCCCCCTGTATACAACTCAGTCCTTTTAAATAAAAAAATTGAAATGTAAGGCTGTGTAAGATTTGTTTTTAAACTGTACGGTGTCTTTTTATTGTATAGTTAACACACTACCAAATGTGTCCTTAGATAGCTCTGTCCCGGTGGTATTTTCAGTAAATACTAACCTTGCCTGGTACAGTATGGGGGTTGTAAATTGTCATGGAAATTTAAAGCGTGTTCTTGTTTGGTGCACAGCACAAATTAGTTATAAATGGGGATGGTAGTTTTTTCATCTTCAGTTGTCCCTGATGCAACTTATATGAAATAATTGTTGTTGTGTTAACTGAATAACTACTCTGTAATTTAAAAAAAAAAATCTTGCAGCTGTTTTGTGACATTCTGAATGCTTCTAAGTAAATACAAGTTTTTTTTATTTAAAAAAACCCCAAGATATCATGTAAAACTTCCTATACTATTTTTTTCAAATAACTGTACTTTATTCCAAATTAGACCTATTTATAGTTGGTTAGAGTGAACACCAAGGTCAAGGGTTCAGATCCGCATACCAGCCAGCTGCCAAAAAAAAAATTAGACCTATTTAGTTATTAGAATCTTCAATCCAGGTCACAGGAATGATTCTATGGTTTTATTTTTCTGTAAGCAACTGAAAGAATAATTAGGTCATATTTTAGTATGTTTTGAAATATTTAAGACTGATCTTAAAAACAAACTTCTAAGATGATTTGGTATACTTGTAGCATAGAGTTCAAATTTACTTGGTTTGAAACTACTGTAAAAAATGAGTAATCTATTAGAAAAATTTGTTTTATTTTTATCTGCCAATGAACTCATTTGAAATTTTCACTTTAGTCAAATGCTTTTTTTTGTGCAGACAAAAATAGTGATCAATTTTTAAATAGTAAAAATTTCCAAATTAATAATAAAAATTATTTCAAAACAAATGTATGGGTAATAAAAGTTAGAACCCTATATGTATGGTGTAATTACCATACAGTTTAATATATGGCAAAAATGTATACTTGATATTTCTGGACTGTTAATTTTTCTGCTGTATTCCAACTGACCAAAACAATGTTAGGAATGCATCTTTATAAACAGGTGCTAATTGATAAGGGAAATGATTTTGTAATGGACTATATATAGGATGTTATTAATGAGGCCATATATTTATGTCTAGATTTAAAATTTTTAAACAATCATTTACTAATTTTGCTTTGCCTTGAAGAACATAAGCTGTTTCAGTTATACAGATCAGCAAGATCTTATTTATGGTAAGAAGTATTCCACTGAAATGTTGTATTGTAACATGGAAAAATGTAAATGTTTTTCATGGTTTCTATCAGTATAAAATAAAATTTAATTCTGAAACAAAACCTATTTTTATAAAAGTACTAAGACAATATATGCCTTTTCACTTTTATTCTCTCACAAATACACAGTGGAGTCAGAGACAACATGACATGTGATGATAGCATTGCACTGACTTATGTGCTTGTGTATTGTAGTTTTTAAATTCCTCCGTTTTAATTTCTAATGAGGGATTTTTTTTTTTTTTCTTTTTTGACAGCTGTCCAGTACAGGGATCAAACCCTGGGCCTTGGAGTTATCAGCACATTGTGGAAATCTTGATAGATAACATCAACATAAACAAAAGTTCTAGGGTCCTTAATCATTTTTAAGTGTATAAGAAGGGGTTTGGTGGTGGGTTGTGACCAAAAAGTTTGAGAATCACTGCTTTACAGGATTTTTATGAGAGGTAGATGTAATAGAGAGAGTTCCCAGTACCCTGCCTGATAATAGTAAATACTTAATAAATAATGATTATATTTTTTGTCTTGTTATTTATTTATTTTTTTCCTTTTTGTCTTTTTTCGTGACCGGTAACGGGATCGCAACCCTCGGTGTCGCGCCCACACTAAATAAATAAATAAATAAATAAATAATGATTATATTTTTTGTCTTGTTATTTATTTATTTTTTTCCTTTTTGTCTTTTTTCGTGACCGGTAACGGGATCGCAACCCTCGGTGTCGCGCCCACACCGCGCTCAACCAGTGAGCGGACCGTTGTCTTGTTTTTTAAAAAACATGTATTTGTTAAACTCCTTAGTCTAATAATTATATTGTTTTGAACTGAATCTGACATAAGTCACTTATATGCTATTTTCTAAGTCCCTACAACATACTTTACATATTTAGGACATTGCTGCCTATAGAGACTTGGTATTGAGGTAGAGAAGAATGTTACTTATTGGCTACATAATAGAAAGGAAAGAGTAGCCAGTCAAGGCTCTCCTGTCTTTACCTTTATGTGCACATTGGTGAAGCTGTTTTCAAATTTAGTATTTGGTGGCTGGCTTAACTTGTGGTATTTGGATTTATGAATCTTTCTTTCTCTCCCTTTCACAGGTTCTCCTTCTTCCTCAAGGAAAAGGGGAACCAGCTGTCCCTCCAGCAAAAATAGCAGCCCTAACAGCAGCCCACGGACTTTGGGGAGAAGCAAAGGGAGGCTCCGGCTGCCCCAGATTGGCAGCAAAAATAAACTGTCAAGTAGTAAGGAGAGCTTGGATGCCAGCAAAGAGAATGGGGCTGGGCAGATCTGTGAGCTGGCTGATGCTTTGAGCCGGGGGCACATGATGGGGGGCAGCCAACCTGAGCTGGTCATCCCTCAGGACTACGAGGTAGCTTTGGCCAATGGATTCCTTTATGAGCATGAGGCATGTGGCAATGGCTACAGCAGTGGTCAGCTTGGAAACCACAGTGAAGAAGACAGCACTGATGACCAAAGAGAAGATACATGTATTAAGCCTATTTATAATCTATATGCAATTTCGGTAAGTGATTTGTTGTATGGTTTTCAAAGAGTGGTCTGCACTTTTCAGTGGACTTTTCACTTTTGTTCACTTGTTTTCATTCATTCATCAGCAAGCATTTTTTCAGGACCTGCTTATTTCTTAGGCATAAGCTTGGTGATAGACAAAGTTAACATAGAAATCTTGGTTTTCTGGATAGAATCCAGGGAGCTCACATTATGATGCAGGAAATAGTCATGTAATTGTTGTAAGTGGAGTCACAGGTTCAAGTTATTAATAATTGTGTTCCTAAGGAATTTTTAACTTTCTAAAAGATAATTATAAGTATAAAATTGTTGTTTATCCACACAAGACTTGGAGCTTATGACTTTTGAATTTTACTTTTTGTTTATTTTGTTTCTGGAAAAAATGAGATGGTTCGAAAACACTTTCTTAACCACCTAGCTATTCGGTGTTCTCCAGCTCAGATGCTAGTGCTGTGCCCTATGCATAGTACTGTTAACCACTAACATACCTCCACTTTCTTCTCTCTTGCAGTGCCATTCAGGAATTCTGGGCGGGGGCCATTATGTCACTTATGCCAAAAACCCAAACTGCAAGTGGTATTGTTACAATGACAGCAGCTGTAAGGTAAATATTCTTAATTTTTGAATGAAGTTAGAGGCCGAATGTCAACAGATCTGGGGAACATTTGTTGAAATAATGGACTTTCTCCTGATTAGATGTTTTTATTAGGATCAGTATATAGATGCTATCAGTATTAAGGGAACAAAAGTAATATGCAGAGTGGGGAACGAAAACATGAATAGTGAGGAAAAAGAGGTGTTAGTTAATGAGAAAAAGTTTCTATCTTTTGAACTATTAGAATTTGATGGGGTTTTAGGTAATTCTTTTGACTTGCCTTATGGTCAGAGTATTTTCCCCAAAATAAACATTGAGAATTATGGGGCTCATTTTAGGGTCAGGTGTGAGACAGCCAAAATATTAAGCTGATTAAAAGCAATCAGGTTTAGTAATTTGAGAGAGCACCAAATCCTAACCAACAGGGAAGGTTTAGTAATTAGAAAGGGTTGGCCTTCCTTTCCCTGGCTAGGATTAAGAGCCAGCATAGTGATGGCTTTTTTGTTAAAGGATTTTCTTGCCCCTTCAGGAACTTCACCCCGATGAAATTGATACCGACTCTGCCTACATTCTTTTCTATGAGCAGCAGGGGATAGACTATGCACAATTTCTGCCAAAGATTGATGGCAAAAAGATGGCAGACACAAGCAGCATGGACGAAGACTTTGAATCTGATTACAAAAAATACTGTGTGTTGCAGTAAAGCTACCACTCTGGCTGCTAGACAGGGTGCTGGTGAGGGAGATGACTCCTTGTAGCTGACATTTGGCAAAAGCATCATTGAAAGGCAAGCTAAATGTAGTTATTTTATCCTGTGACCCTGAAGCACAAAATAAAAATTCTAATTAAAATAGTTAACTTTAAGAGTAGTAATAATTTTGTTTTGAAGTCTCACTCAAGTTCTCTGGTAGAGAACTTTCAGGCAGATCACACCAATAGCCTGTAAACAAAGGGGTTTGGCACCAGCCACCTGGGACCAAATAAGAATTAAATTGTGCTTGTCCAGATGTGAACAAACATGTAGTGAGTATAGAGTTTACCAATAATCATTACAGAATACTAAGGATTTCCTTGGAGTCAAAGTAAAAAATAAAAAAATCGTAGTGTTGTCTGGGGACGACATGATATGCTACCTCCTTTTTCCTGAAGTTTTATTCCATTATATTGACACGATGGAGAAAGCAAGATCATGAAGTATGCAAGTGATTCTTGTGGCATGGGTGCAGATTTTTTAATTTATTTTTTAAACCGTTTCCCTACTTTTTATGTCTTTCTTGCTCTTTGTTTTTGTTTTGTTTGTTTGAGACACAACCAGTCAATGGCAGAGGCACATGGTGGTCAATCTGAAAGGGAGAATCTCTAACAAGATTCCACGTAGGGCCTTGGTTGGGAGACCCAGTAGAAAGAAAAAGCATTCTGGGAAATCCAGGCAAAATGGCCCTCCTGATAACAGCATCTTCCTCTTAGGATACTTTAAGTATTCTCAAAAATTTATCCCCTCTCCCTACTGCTGAGTGTGGCAAGGTAGTTGCCAATATTTGCACCATCTTTACATGCACGTGTTGCACAAAGAGCTGGGAAGGAAGTGGCATCAAAGCTAGAAGGTGTTTCATAATTTTTCTTTCTTTTGCACTTTTAAAAAGAGAATACATGCAAATGAATTTACTTGTTTGTATTGATGGCTCTAAGGGCTATAAATTAACTCTATTGGGGTATTTTCCCACATCATATTAAATTTAAAAACAAAATCCCAAACATTGATAGTTCATAAGTATTTTTAATGAAATTGATGGTTAGGATAGGAAGTAAACTTTTGTTTTGTTTGCATGTCCCTTTTTTTTTTTTTTTTAAAATTTTACACTAGTCATCAAAGTTATATTTCTTGCTTACTTCATTTTTTCCTCTGATTTTTCAAGACTGGAACAAAACTATAAATGTTATTTATTTCAGGCAGCATTTTTTTTCCTGTGTTTTTTAATATGCATTCAAAAGAAATGTTCCACCTTTTTGTAGTCTTTTTTTATTATTATTAATTTACACCTTGGAAGTTGATTCTCATTAAGTCAGATTCCATTGCACTTTTTTCCTCATGGGTAGTAAGAACCAATGTGATTAAGCATTTGTGTTCTGTTATCTGAGGCCAGTAACTATGTAGTTCTTCTCAGAGCATTTGAAAGTTGTCTTAAATGGCTACCTAAGTTGAAACCCCTTTCAGAAGAAGAATATAATTACAAGTAAGAAAGAATGCCCTAAATGGTATAATGTAATGAAGTCAGACAAAATGCATACTTAATAGTTTCAAGATTTTTATTATATAAAATCTGTCCATTCTTACCTGGACAAGTCCCATGAAAAAGTGGAAGATTTTGAATTTCCTTACAAATGTTTTATTTAAGCAGGTAGCACAATCTACTAATGTTGTTTGATCTGTGTTTGTTATATTGGTTATAATTAATTTTTTTAATTCATGAACTAGCATAAAATTTATTAAATTAACTATTAACTACATTCATCTTGTAAATTACTGTATAAAATTTGTTGACAATGCACTGACTTTAGAAAGCTGTTAATGTACATAAATAGAGTGTAAATAAAATAGTGTCGATGTACTGAAATATGAATTGTATAAAAAGTATTGGTGATTGTATATGGAGTGTACCTGTTTATCTGTAACTATTATCTAAACAAATTAAATACTGTGGATCCCTCTATGTGCTGTTTTTTCTCATACAAGTAAACACATGAAGTCAAATTCTTCAGTCTTTCTGTGATCCTGTTTTAGTTCTACTTGAATAATGCCTATCAGAGTTTATAGAGTGGTTGCTCCATTTCTGAGGGAGTGGAAACTATTGAGAGTAGAACAATACCTGCAATGGCCAGATGAATTTGATTTAAATGTGGCTAATATCCCTTTTAGAAAATTATTTTGGAAGGCATTGAAGGGTGGGAAGAGGAAAAGGATAGAGAGCAAGTGGTGAACTGAGGATTGGTGGGGAGGTCCTGTGATAGCTTTTATGCACATTAGGAGATTAGGTGAAGAAGAGGAAAATTTCTCATTTGCATAATACCTTGAAATGACCCTAGGTTTCTAGGGGTCACTGAGAAACCAGGATATCCCTGGTTGTCTTTCTGGAACATCTCCAAGGAGGCAGTGCTGAGACGAGATGAAGCTTTAGAGCTGTAGGTTCTTCACCCTCAGCCCCTTTTTGTTTACCTATAAAATTTGCATTGCTTAACGGTGGGGATGCATTCTTAGAAATGTGACCTTAGGGGCCGGCCCGGTGGCGCACTGCTACAGTGTGCCACTTGGGAGCGCGGCGGCGCTCCCACCGAGGGTTCGGATCCCACATACAGACCGGTTCCCACTCACTGGCTGAGCGAGGTGTGGACACAACACCGAGGCTTGCGATCCCGTTGCCGGTCCCGGTCCGGTACAGGCGCGACACTGAGGGTTGTGATCCGTTGCCGGACACGAAAAAAGACAAAAAGGAAAAAAAAGAAAAAGAAAAAAAAGAAATGTGACCTTAGGCAATTTCCTCATTGTGCCAACATCATACAGTGTACTTATACAAAGCTTTTTTTTCTTTATTTTTGATTTATGTGCTTTTTGTTGTTTTTCTTACACAAACCTAGGCTATATGGCATAGCCCACGGCTCTTAGGCTACAAACCTATACAGCATGTTACTCCACTGATCCACACAATGTTAATCATCTGTGTATCTAAACAGAAAAGATACAGTAAAAACACAGCATTATAATCTTACAGGACTATGCGGTCCATCGTTGACTGAAGCATCATTATGTGGTATATAAATGCCTGACAGTTTCGTGGAGTTTGATGAATGTGAGATTCTACCCCCAGGAGATTCAATTCTGTTTTGCAAAGGGTTTTTTGGGTTTTATTTTTTTACCCTCTTGCTGTACTGATACTAAAATATTTTAATAGCTCTCTGCTCACATTCTCCAAAACCGGAATACACATTAAAATATATAAAATGAAAAGTGTTGAATGAGCAGCAGTGGCAGTTTGTTTAACGAAAGGAACAAACAAACAGAAAATTGATCCAAAAAGTTATAAAAAATGAAGCACATTTCCTAAAGTGCCAGTCTGTGTTCCTAGCATTTTAACAGCCTTAGAAGGACTAGCTTATGGAGAAGGACAAGCATTTCATTTGTAGTTTCTGAGTGGCCCTGTAAGTTGAGAGAGGTCTTCAGCCTCCCAGCCTCTCTGGCTGAGAGTGGTGATTCCACATGTGTTCTCTCCACCACCTGGTGGCGTTGCTCACTCTGGCTTCTTTCTTAGTTGGTGTCTGCAAATAGACGATTTGCCACATTTTCTCAGTTATTTTAAAGGTTTAAAATAGAATTTTACTGGGACAAGCCAGAACATGTAACTTGGGAAGCAGAGCTCTCAGTTTTCCTTGATGATGGTTGCTTAGTATTGAAATCACAAAGTCAGAAATGCACACGCTTCTATGATCAGAGACTCATGCAAAACAGCAATGAAAAGAGGCTGTCATTAGGTTTGCCAAACTTCCCTGACCAGTGGGAAGCAGGATAGTAGATGCGTGTGCAGCAGTTGCAAACTCAAGCCTGTATTACCAGGTTGGTAACAGAATAACGTAAGAAAGCTAGCCTAGCCGTGGCTGAGAATGAGGAGTGGTGGGGACCGTGGTAAGTTCTAGGCATATATCCATCTAAAGGCTCCATCTGATTGTTGCCGTATAAGAATGTGGGCCCCAGTGTTAACCAAATCTTTTTTTTTTTCTCCTAAATAGAAGCCAGAAATCCAGATATTAATACAAAACAATCAATTTAGAAATCAATTAATTGTCAAAAATTTTAAACATTGTACTGCCCAAATAAAAACTTACCTGCTGGCCAGGTACAAGCCATTCTCCTAAATAGAAGCCAGAAATCCAGATATTAATACAAAACAATCAATTTAGAAATCAATTAATTATCAAAAATTTTAAACATTGTACTGCCCAAATAAAAACTTACCTGCTGGCCAGGTACAAGCCACTAGTTCATGCCCTCTAGTAAGGAGAAAGGTTATGGACTTTGAGCCCATTCAGTCAGAAATCAGATTCTGGCTCTGCTGTGAACAACTGTGAACTAAAACAAGTTCCTTAGACCCTCAGGTGTCTCATGTCGAATGAGAATACTACTTTATTTCCAAAGGTTATTAAAAGTAACAGATCTTAGCCGGGTACAGAAAGAGAAATACCACATGTTCTCATTTATGAGAGCTAAAAATAAATAAACAAATATACAAACAAACGAGGTGGGGGGAGAAAACAACAATCACAACAATTCCTTGAACTTGTTAAGGCAGGTGAACAGACATGATATTGATGGGTGGGAGGGGGATGAGGGAAGTGAGAAAGGAATTGGTAAAGGGACACAAAAATCACCTACATTGTATATTGATAAATTAAAACATTTTTTAAAAAAGGAATAGATCTTGTATGTAAATAGGCACAGATCTTTCCTCTTTAGGTTTTCAAATAAAGTATTCTTTCCACACTTAGGGAAACAACACATATATAAAATAACAATGTTATGATCAACTTCATGACTAGTCCAGAGGCATACAGGTAAACAACATGTGAGCACCTACTGTGTACAGAGCTTTGTGCTAGTTTCCCTGGGGGTAGCAGTTCTCAGCCTGGCAATTCATCAGCATCATCAGAATCAACTAGGAGCTTGTTAAATATGCTGATTCCAGAATCACACTCATTTGCATATTATATCTGTGTTCTGTACCTACTTACACCCATATTTGTGAGATCATTCTTTTCCATGAAAAAACTGCATTTTAATAAGTTCCTCAGGGGAGATTCTTTTGTAGCCAGTTTGTACTGGTCGGCAGATGGATCATTTATGGAAACCACTGCTCCAGGGAATGAATCATTACTTCCTGTCTAATTAGGAAAAGATACGTGTGCACATGTAAGGAGGAGTGATAGTAATTATCCAAAAGCTCCCTAGACATGTCTCTGATGAAGTACTGACATAGAACGTCAAACAGTAGGTTGTTGATGAGGTACTTAGCGAAAACTAACTGGAAAAAGAAAGAGCTGTGCCATGAAGATCAGGATTTTATTGTCAGAAGTGTGGAGAGCAGTCCAGCGGTCTAAACAGACAACAAAAGAGCAGAGGCAGGATTCAGGTTATGCATTCCAGAGGCAGGGTAGGCATGTTTGAGCTGAGCTGAAGGTACGTGAGAAGCATAGCAGAAGATAAGGCAGAAACCATGTTTGAAGGCCTCTGAAGTTCAGACCAGTTGTAATAAAAGCATTTCACGTTGCCAGGTATTTTGGTATGGTTGCAAGATGTTATCATATGGTTTGCATAAGTTCATACTAACCTATTTTAGACCATTTGTTCTAAACATAACTTTTGTTTGCTGAAATTTCAGTGTTTTGTGTTCTGTTTTTTGTTTTGTTTTGGTGGCTGGCCTGTATGGGGATCTGAACCCTTGACCTTGGTGTTACAACACCACGTTCTAACCAACTGAGCAACCGGCCAGCCCTGTTGGCTGTAATTTAACTTTCTCTTTTTCATACACACAATCCACTTTTGCTGGAATTTCTTTTGATAATGAACTTTAGACCTTACCACAAGCACAAGAGGAACTCATGGATGGATATTAGGTTTAAAGGGCTCCAAGTAAAAGAGAAAAACAAAAGGAGTCAGGCAGGAGAGGGAGAAAAACTAGAAAAGATGTGGACAGGAAGAAGGCATGCCAGAGCCCAGTCATAGCTGAGTGCAGCCCAGGAAGAAGTGTGCCTGGTTGGTGGAGGCATCCAAGGCCCTTCTCTGCTGCCACAATGGTTTTTTCAGTGCCACCCTTCAATTCTCCACAGGAGGATTCTCTGCTACTCATGGCTAATCTCCAGTACCCGCTGGGATTACAAAGTGGGCGGGGGGAGAGGTATTCTCTTATTGGGGATCAGCAGGGAGCTTCCCAGAATGGAGTAGGAGATGCCTGTGATTGTCGTCAGAAGCCGCTGTAGCCTCAAGTTCAGAGCAATCATCTTAGCTGACACCGTGAAAAGCAATGGACTGGAAGTCCAGTCCAGTGTTTGCTGTGCACCTTGCAGAACTATATGACCTTTGCAAGTCAATTGCCTTCTCTGTGGCTCAGTTCCTCTTGTGAATTAGGGCAGTGGTCTTCAGCTTTTCTTTTGAAACATCAGGACTGAACCCTTCTTCCAACCATATTTTACCTGAAGGACCAATAGCTAAAGCAGATGAGGTTGGAGTTGCTCAGGTTGAAGTGAGGGTAGGGGTGGAGCTGCCTGAGCAACCTCTGTGGGCTCTGGATCAGATGTCCACTAAAACACCTTTCACCTCTAAGTCAATTGTGCAGAGCTCCCAGAGAATTGTCCCCAGCAATAGGATTTGGTAGCATTCCCAGGTGAACACTCTCTTTTGGACTGCTGGAAATCATGGTGGCAACAGGCTGGGCCTTTCCAAAGGCCATTTTGCTATTCTCTGTACATCTGGGCAGAGGGGAAAAGCCTGCCAACTAGGGTGAAGGCTGGTCAACCTCCCTCCTTGTAGAAACCATAGGTAGTGCCTGGAGCAGCCAGCCTGCTGTCTGGCCTCTGTCCCAGGACTGGGCATCTGTAGGGAGCCAGTGCCAGGGCCTGTGGCCTCTAATTCTTGTACCAGCTAGAGAAAGTTACTGCTGCCACTCCTTGTTGCAGGACTCTGTGGCTTGGAGCTGCAAATAAATGTCT